CTATACATATATCGGATGTACGCTTTGTTTGGGGAAGGAGGGATGGAGAAAAAGGGGTGATGGGAAGATAAGGAAGGAACAGAAAAAGAACGTAGAATGCAGAGAACTATCGTTGTTGTGTCACTTGATTTGGGAAACAAGGCGTTCCGCGCGAAATGAAGAGAAAAAAAAAAGGCGGAGAACGATTGCTGCGATAGGTAAGCGAAGAAGGAAAAAAAAATCCGTTTGTTTGAGGCAAAAAAAAAAAGTATTAGGGGGAGGGGGTGAAAATAAGATAGAATACATGTCATTATAGGTGATGGTTAAATGGTTAGTGTGATTTTTAAGAACAAAGAAACAAATGACCAACAAAGAATACCATACAAGTTAAGACTTAACCCTGATACAGTCATGTAGGTTGTTATGGCGTAAACCTCGCGCCTAAGTGTTTGGGTGATTGTAACGTACGTACTCATTATCGACAGTAGCTTCTATAGTTCTCGTGGAATTAAGATGGTGGATAGAACAAAAACTTGTCATCTTCTAACGCAGTCGTTTTTAATAACTTCTAAAACTATATATCCCCATCACCAGTTCCAATCATGTGGAAGCTTGGCGTTACTTATGCGTTGTATAAGTCTAATTTGAGAAGATAATAACTATGCAGAAATAAAGATATGGTTTACGAGTTTGTCGCTTTGCTTATCTCGTAATTGGTACACGACAATAAGCCTTGCGTGGGAATTCAAACTATCTCTGATATCCCTACGCATTGAAGGAAAAGTCTGGTAAGATTCTTTAAACATAACAACAACTGAATTAAATGTTATTTCTAACCATATGCGTTAGACAATATTAGACATATCCGACTGTCTAAATAGACTTTGGATTCTCTCGATTGATAAGCAAACCTTATTAAAGAAGCACGGTTACAAGTTTATATATCAATATTGACTTTTATAGACTTTGCTTACAAAGGTTACCATATCTTGCATGGTCGGCTAATGATGTGTCTTAAACATTGGTTGTGCCAAGCCGGAAATAAGATACATTGTAGAAGTTTAAATACAAAACTGGTGTTGCATTTTGTAATTTCACACGCTTATGTCGAATTAATTCAGAATCCTAATTGAATATTCACCATTGTCGTCCCAGATGATAGGTAGAATACCATGTTTTCATGTTCATCATTTAGAAGCTTAATTATATACTCTTTTGTTTGTTCTATCGTACTTATCTTCCTTGGCTCGTAAGACGTCTTTCTTTTCATTATCTTCTCACACACAAGTAATCATTGCTATATTTATATACTAAATTAAAGATATTATTATCGAATTGTCCTTGGGACAGATACTGCTTTGTTAATAATAGTACTCATAGAGCGAATATGTATGCAGCAGAATCAGTCATCCATAACGCCCTCCAATTTCTTGTACTATATGTGATCAGGTGGGTAACCAATCTTGGAAAAAAATACACTAATACTAATACTAACACAGATTTTGCAACAAAGAAGAACCAGGTAAATCTAAATGGATAGTACAGTTAACAATGAGAATAAAGCATAACATTTGACAATTGACAAGCAAAGCATTAAGTCTTAACATTTAGCTGTTCAAAACAAGGTCATATGCTGGCCAGTTGGGTATCTTTAAAAATGAGTAATCCTATGTGTCTAGTTATAATGTTAATGATAATGAGTGCATTGCATCTCAAACAAATTTAACAACTAAAACCAAAAATGTCACTCTGTTACCATATACTATCTACTGTAATAGTGAATTGCATTAGACTCTGTTAAAACTAGCTAACTCATCACAGCTGTCAGTGAATGTGTAAACCTGAACCAGGCAAAGTTCTGGAAATAGATCAATTTCCTGAAATAATAGATAAGATTTATTGAAATTAGTCAAAGTTCTTGCACAATTTTGTCAAGTTTGTGTCTCCTTATGAGTATTAGTGGAAATGGGTTCCAATAGTTTGGCAGTTCTATCTTCATGAATGTACATACATACCAAATGGTGTCTATACAGACTTTACAAATTACCTCTGCTTATTGCTCAAATTCTTGTTCCTTACCCATTATTAACTCAATAAGTCACTATTTATATTACAAAGTCTTTTTTGGTTGGATAATTGGAGCTTGGCATTAATTATGAATGTATAGAAATAAACCATATTGTCTACATATTGAACAATTATATCAGAATACTGATAACATAAGCAATAAGGTTGAGGCCAAGCATTATTTGTATGGATTAAAAGTTGCATCTAAATATACAAAATGTTATCAGTAGAAGCACCAGTTAGTACATTATATTATATTTAGTAATTAGTAAGGACATAGTCTTCAGGTGATTTTTTTTATATATTGTGAGTTATATAACACTAATACTATTATTATACAAAGTCGGTATTTTTGTGACTTATTCAGTATAATTCGTGTTAAAATTCTATATTCACATCTTTTTTCTAATCATAACTCTTATAATGTGAAACTACTTTAATTTCACTATATATTTACCACTGATTTATTCTCTATCAATTTTATGTAATTTTCAAAAAATCTTATTATAAAGATAAAAATACAACTTTGAACAAGCATGGCTATTTAATTAAACATTCTGTCAAAATCTACAACTAGAGAATGATAAAGCTTAACAAGGGGTGTAAGTTTATTATCATCATTGCAATTACTGTTACTATTACTATTACTATGTTGTAATCAAAGAAAAAATTATGTTAAGATTAAAACAAATAATATTCTTATGTAAGGCAGACTAACAGACAATGCAAACATTACTATGTGCCAAAATGGTTAATGTGGCTGAAAATTAACCAAGTGGGGGATAATGTTATTGTTTTAGTGGCTACAGCTTTTGCTCGTGCACAATTTGGGGCTAATTTTTTATAAATTGATACCATAAATTTTTTACTCAAAGGTATTATTATTAGTATTAGAACGCGTTAAAAACATAGGAATACGTCTGTATATAAATTAAAATACATGAAACTAGTTTACATCAGATCTACTTTAGAACCCAAAAATTACAGTACTATTAGAAGCATTTAAAAAAAAAGCAAGGCAAAATTTTTGCTCCATATTAATATAAATATGTTTTTAAATGCATGGTACCCAAACTCTCCAGGAATATTTTGGTAATGAAAATTACTTACGTAATTCAGCAAGAAGAAAGAAAACTAATAAACATTAAGAAAAGCCAGCAGAATGAGAATGTATCTTTACAAACAAAAGACTTAAATCTCTGGGCGGGAAACAATATAAACAAAATACTAATTACTTTTGTCTTTCGCAATGAGGTTTCTAAAACCAATACTTCCATTCCAGCTTTGTATTAAGCACTGACCTTTTTTGGTAAAATTAATTTAACTAACATAGTAATAGTTTAAAACAAGAAAAACAACTGTAATATGTAACCAGAAAAAATTTTTAATTGTCACAACAATAATACAAAGAAAGTCTAACCTTTAATTGATGAGATGAAAAAAGAGATTATTAAATTTTGTTGCTGAGATTACACTTAAAATCTGGTCCAACAAGAGGAAATAAAATAAAAGAAGAAAGGAAAGCTTTAGAGAAATTTAAAAAATTTATTTACTTCCTTCCAATAGGTAACCATATGTCAAAATAATAAACAGTTTCTGTTTGCTAGAGCTTTTGTAGGCAACAGACAGTACACTCGCTTGGGCATTATTTTTAAAACTGAAAGTCCTCCTCTCAGTAATTGTTGTGAGATAATTACTTTCACAGTTATTCCAACTTGGCTTTACTTATTCTAAAGTTTTCCGACAGTACGTACGCAAGCAATACTTTGAAACGTGAACATAACCCACTCATCAGGTTGAAGTTCAAGATATGGTGCAGTTAATGTATTTCTATGAACTATCAACTTAACCACCCCACGAACTTACAGTTATTTTAATCTAATTTTGTCTGCAGTAGAAATTCTACTAAATTCTGCGTGCAATGTAATTTCTAACATTCACCGTTCACGGTTATTAGCATATAAACAGCGCAAAACTGGTACAAAAGTGAGAATCGTTTGCAGCTTACAAGAAAATATCCATCAAAGTTTTCTAGTTGCAGAGTCTCCCATATATATACAAGCTGTGTCCATTCTTTGTCGCCTTTAATTGTTCCATCGTTGATATTCAACAGACTTGTACAAACTACAAGAGAGTGTAAATATATGAATACGAGCAACAAACTCGTTAATACTAGAATTTGATTACAATGGCAACGTCACACTGGAGCAACCCGCGTAATAGTAATGCAATGTATAACTTCAGTTACGCGACTGCAAATTTTATTTCATATAATAATAACCACAACCATCCCCGCTTCATGATTGTGTAGTGATTATAGTGTTTCTGCAATTTTCTTTCCATAGTAATATATAATAGTCTGGACCTTGTCTAAGGTTGAAAATTAAAAAGGCCAACCGCAGGCAGTACTTGGGTTGGTTACTTTCTTTCTAGAAAAACACCACGTAGGTTAAAACCGTATCTATTATTATTTGATAGGTTAAATAAAGCAAAGTTGTCACATTGGGCATGTTTTACATTATTACGATATAACCCTTGTTTTACTTACGTCGCTAGCTAGCCCTTGGTCTGTAAGTATAAGATTGAATAGAATCTGACAGCTACATAACTTTGATCGTATCAATTTCGGCATTGCATAAAAATTTGTTGATAGATTATTTCCATAATTTAAATCCGTCTTGTTCGATGCCACCAGCCAAAAACTTTCTTCGAACCATGTACTATTCAATATCCACGTAAACAGATGACCGTCAACTGGAAATTGCTTACTAACTTCCGTCGAAACAATCGAGAAGCCGACTCGGTAGTGGTAAATATTGCACTTTCAGTTTAAAAATTAATTTCATTTTCGTTTGGTGAACTAGACACAAAATTACACAATTCTCGTATACTGTGCGGTTGACTTTTTTAAAAGAGATTCAGTCTTTATCTGCATCTACTCTTATTGTTCAGATTCATTGATAGTTTGCACCTTGATCCTCTAATTCAACATTGCCCGGACGAAAGTCAAAGTAGATCTATACGTACTCAAGTCAGACTATTTGTTATGTATTAAAGTCAGAAAGAAATCATCGGGCTGAAATATACAAGACTCACCATCAATACAGTTGTGCAATGTTTATTATAAACTATCAAGTTATCCGCCGAAAAAACATGCCAATCATTCTGATCCAACAACCTTTGTAAGCTTTCCCTTGACTTTGTTCTCATAAATTTCAAATACGTCCTTGGCATCTTTCCCCAAAATAAAAAACCCTGATATAAAAGCATGCAAACAGTTATTGACAATGATGCTCTGAAGATATCCATCTTGCTAATACACTTACCATGTCCACGCCTTACAAATACTTTGAATTGAGGATATGACCATTTACTCAAAAGGCTCATCATAGCATCCATGTCTTCTCTAGTAGAAAATCTCGTCTCTTTCTCACTGACTGGGATTCCCAACTTCTCACAGATATCGTCATCGCCGACTACATGACCATGCATAGCAAATCCTGGTTTCTCTGACCATTGGAACATATCCGGTGCCCGGATGAGACATGCCCAGTATAGTGAAGTATCTGATGTTGGTTTAATGTTTTCGCTGGAGCTGTAGTACTCACATTGCCACGAATTTGTATCGAATTTATTTACGTAAGCAATATCTGATTTCAGTAGATTAGCGCGAGCTAGTTTTCCCGATTTCGTTGTTAATAGTGCCGCCGGAAGCGACAATGAGAAAGACGTAGGTACAACAGCACATGCATTTCCTCCTACGCGACCATCAGGCAAGACAGGCGCTGCACCATTGTCTTCCAGAATGTTGAGAGCTTCTGAAAGACATTTGTGATACTCATCGAATAGAGATATATGCGGAAGTCGACCGCGGTAGATTAACGAGAAGAGAATACGCTGAGAGGTAGTTAAGGAAGACTTGGTCGATGCAGAATCGGTCATTAGTAAACCTACGGCTAAAGGAATACTATCCAATCATATAGTATAAATTTGTACATAGGTAACTTGCCTTATACGTAAAATCGACACGCGCATTGATCACTTGAATAAAATGTGACAGATTAAAACAAAATCGGATTAAAATGAAATTTTCTCAAAAAATTATTATTATTTTTTTTTGGGGGGGGATAGGATTTAGGGTAACTTTTATTAATAGAAGAGTATAGAAACATTAAATGGAGACCCCAAATTTCATTTTAATCCGATTTCGTTTTAATTTGCCACAATGTCTTAAATAATACATCGTCTGCACGTACATTAAAAATATATTTATTCAAAAACTGTTGAGTAAAAAAATTCGGAATTGTTCCAATCGACAAATCGAAGTAATATCGCAGTTGTTGTTCCGGTATAGTTTCTCTCCTTGTTTGTAGGCTGCTGGCGTCAGGTCTATCGCTGAAAAAATCATTTTTTAGAGAAGAATAATTAAAATAAATACAAGAGAGTGACTTTAAAACTGGCATTATAAAAGATAAGGTATGGTATAACCTGGCAATCCAGAGCGTTAACATATTATGGAACATACACGACACGTAGCCGCATTCAATATTAGTTAAGGCCTTAATTTGAAGCGTGACACGTTAGTAAGGCTGTGTTTAGAGTTAAGTTGAGAATATCCTGGGTCACTAATTGTGTTATGATTCGCAATTTGTTGGAGTTGGGAAAGCGTAATTTATCTATTACTATTACATAGATGTGCTTGCAAACTGGGGGATAGTTACTGAACTTGGCTCGTACTACTACCATTACTCTAGCAGGTACGTTACTTAAAGCTAAACTACCGGCATTATTTAGATCTTTCTCGAATATCTACTGCACTCATGCTGCAAAAACGATTATAACAACAAATTCTATAATTGCTGAATTGAGGGAATAATTTACTGTAATATATTAATTCTATGGCTAATACTCGACTTGCATGTTTGACTAGTCAATTAAATCCTAGACTCGCTTTTTTATTCTTACTAATAAAAGGTTTATTACGTAGAATGGTATGAGTCTTTAATTTGTTAGATCGATTGGCGTTTCCTCAGCTATGACAAAGCTGTTATTCCCGTGCTATGCCGTTCGCGTTAATAGATAATCCGATCATAATACTTGAATTAAAGAATTGTATTTGTTTCAGGGTGTATTCTTTTCTTTCAACACTTTATGAACTAGTAATGATTTAATCAAATAGACAATATAATATGGAATTATAATGGAATAATAATTCGACAATGGGAATCTTGGTCTTATTTATAACTCAACCGTGACTAAATATTTTATACGGTTTTCTTTGCTTTTGGTCTTTGTACAGTCAACTCTCTCTAAATGCACTCTCCCTAGATGCACACTCTCCCTAAGTGCACAGTATTTCAAATTCCCAACCTCGGGAATTAGTGATAAATGCACATTCTCCTTATTAACGGATTTCACAATCCCAAGGGTTATTATAAAATGAAAGTAATCCTCCGTAAATGCACGCACGTGATCCGATCTGGCATAATTCTACACACTTGCATTGTAACATCAGGCAAGATATTTAGCGAATTAATCGTGATACTTAAATCAAGCCGTTAGTACCTTTTAACACCAGGTCATGTAACTGAGACACTAAATATATCAACGAATAAATTTTAACTACCGTAAGAACTCTTTAAGAAGGACACATTCGCGTAGTCATCATCTTAACAATTTGTTAACTAATAGCTAGCATGATAATTGTGTTAAAACCTCGTCTTTCAATAAACGCCATACTTTTATTATGCCTCAGAAGTAAGGTTATTTGATCAGATGCTCAAAAATATGAGCTTTATCTGTATGTTCACGATAATGAGAAAAATTGAACAGAACTGTTAATTGGGTTGAAAACAATGGAAAAGTCAGAGTTAATGAATCTGCAAAAGAACAACTGAACATGGCAAACATTCTTGAAAGGTATATTAGAGAACGAGGAGCCAATATGATGCAACAGACAAGCATAGATCAGTATTTTACGCAAAATATCATTATTAAATAGTATCACGTGATTTACCAATACAAACTTTCTAAATGCACACTCTCAAATTTTCAGTCCCGAGGGCGTGCATTTAGGAGAGTTCTTTTTTATGCAAGATGCAGAGCATGGGAAACCGATCGTCGTCACGCAATTAGTTATGTCACTTAGAATACCCGCAAATATGCGGCAAAGAAGAATTCGCACGTAAATATTTAAGATTTGCTATTCTGATAGCACGAATAGATTGAATTGGATTATTAACGTTCAAACGGTTTAGAGTTAGTGCGCCCGCAAAGGATGATAGCCAACCATATGACGTATTCGTACGTAAAATGGTTGCGTGCATCTTGGGTCCATCAGTTTGGTGAGGAATCATAGTCTGTAAAGAATGGTCTAGAACCGCTATGAGGATCTGTTACAAGAACGTGTTCTTCCAAAAAAATTGCAGATACAAACGGAACGAAGAATTTAAAGTAACATTCTTTCTTGACACCTGATTTAGAAATTGACTCTGTTATTATTATTATTATTATATGATACGGATTGATTCTGGAAAATCTGCGGCGAAAATCTCGAAATATGATTGGCTCCTTTTTTATGTGTGAATTTTTATTATGCCGCTAAAACCAAAAGTTTCATTAAGGTATAGCTCGAAGCATTAATAAATTTAATGAATTATCCTGCATATTAGTATCGGCCGGTAAGATCCGCATCTTTTTGAAAGCTAGTATGCAGGGACACACTTTGTAATGTGTGATGTAACACAATAATTGTTGAAATTGTTCTCTCGAGATGAAAAATTTTAACTATGTCGCTAACGTCAGAAGTTGTTAATAATCCAGCAATTAACAATTTGGTTCAATCCTCCTTGGAAAGTGAATCCTTAAGACTTCAATGGTTTCCTTGCTCAGATATCGCCAACATAAAACCAACTCAAATTGGCAATGTTCATTACGCTACTCACAAACACACACTGTACGATGGTAGAGTCTATAAAACCATGATAATGTTACTATTAGTTGGAAACGATGAATCCTGTACACCAACACTTATGAGTGAGTTTGCTAGAATATACTCACTTCCGCCACACAAGTACAATAATGACAATAACTTCAGACGATATTCCATATGGCTTAATCGTCGCAACGATCTCATAAAAGGGTTTACCAAGTATGATGATGACAACTACTACATGGTTGCTGATGAACGCTTTTACCATTGTTACTCTCGATATGGATTCTGCTCTGCATGTGGAATACTCCGATGTAGTCCAGTGTGGTGCATTTGTGGGCATAAAGAAATTTCCGATGGATGGAATAGCAACAATAACCAACTTGATGAGTTTATTAAGAAATCTCAACTACAAACAAACTCACCAAATCATGCCTATTTGGAATGGATTCCATTCGATTG